CCCTCTCTTGCTATTCTTAAAAATGCGATGTTTTATGGACAACAACAATCATAGCCTTAATTTCAAAAATAGGGTCTGCTAAATGAACCAATATTTTATCGTCTATACTCGTCAACCCTCTCCTTCCATTCCCTTCTGTCCAATATTAAATGCTCTTGCAAATCTAACTTCTTCATATCCTTAGTTCCTATATATTCAAGACAATATTTATGAAATTTATTTCAAATGTTATAAATGGAAATGTTTGCTTTACCATATTTCTAAGCTATACCTCGGAGATCAGGGTAAGACCAGTGGCGGAGCCACATAGGAACATGAAGGGACAGTTGTTCCCCCATTTAAAAAAAAATTAAAAAAAAAATTAAGGTAAACAAGAATAAATAGATTACATATACAACTTATATATCAAAGGTAAAATCTGGTCTGGTGGAGGGAAAATTTTTAATGTGAGAATGAAATGTAGGATAATTTAAGGATTGATGATGTAAGTAATGTTTTATTTTAGTAATATTTAATAGATTTAGATATATAAAGTATTATAAGTTTTCAAATTTTTAATTATTTTAAATAGAATTGGAGGGAAAATTTTTAGTGTGAAAATGAAATGTAGAATAATTTAAGGATTGATGATGTAAGTAATGTTTTATTTTAGTTATAGTTAATAGATTTAGATACATAAAGTATTATAAGTTTAATAATGTGTTATTTAATTATTGTCTTATTTAATTATATAATTATTTTATTAATAATGTGTTATTTAATTATTTTTTCTTAGTTGTGTATGAGATTGTTTTTTGACTCCTTTTAGTAAAGTTTTATTTTAGTTATAGTTAATAGATTTAGATATATAAAGTATTATTTTTTTTTTAGTAGTGTATGAGATTGTTATTGACTTGTTTTAGTAAAGTTTTATTTTAGTAATAGTTAATAAATTTAGATATATAAAGTATTATAAGTTTTCAAATATTTAATTATTTAATTATTAATTATTTAATTATTTTTAATGAATACATATGTTTAATTATTTTTAATGAATACATATTTTTTTGTATTTTTTTTCATTTTTTTAATTAATTATTAAGAATGTATTTGGATAGCAATGTTTTATTAAGAATGTGTTATTTAATTATTTTTAATGAATACATATTTTTGTATTTTTTCCATTTTTTTAATTATTTTTTTTAAAAGATTTTAATTATGTATTTAAGTATTTTTAATGAATATATATTTTTAATGAATATATATTTATTATTAATTTGTTTAAATGGAAATTGTATTTATTGATTATTGGGGATTATATAATATATGAAATTTGGCTCCCTGAATTACAAATTTTAACTCCGCTACTGGGTAAGACTAATGGTGTATTTGGATAGCAATGGTTGAGATTTGAAAGAAATGAAGTGGGAAAGAAAGGGAGGGTACGAAGGAAGAAGTGGGCTTGTATTTTCCAATCCCTCCAAAACTATTCAATTTTAGAAGAATTTGACATATTAATAGGACCAGTAGGAAATATGATCATTCCATTTCTCTAAGCTACCCTTTGCTTCACCCAATATATCCAAATAAATTAAATTGAATCCATCACTCTTGACCACATTGTGATAGACTGATAGTCATATTTGATTCTATTGTGAGTTACTAAGGTTTTACACATTGCACATTATTACTTTAATAATATTCACCAATCAAACTATATCGGAAAAAAGTACTCCCTTCGTGTTTTAAGTGTTATATTTTGACCAAACACGCATATCGAAACACAATTTTGACCTTTAATTTATCTAATTATATGTTAGTAAAATTATAGAAAAATTGATATTATGAAAGTATACATTATGCTGAATCCAACAATGTATTATAAAATAATATTTGTTTATAATATATTAGTAAAATAATCAAGTCAAAACTATTATGTGAAAAGTAAAAAAGAGTCAAAATGTTAAATGTAACACTTAAAAAAACGGAGGGAATAACACATTATAATATGGACAAAGAGTAGGGTTGTCAAAAGCTAACATGACACGATAACCCGACACAAAGTAAACGTGTTTGAGTTAAGAATTTTCGATCGACCCGTTTAAATACATAATTGGGTCAACACGAACCCAATACGAAATTAAACGGGTTAGGTTTAGGTTGAATTTTTCAACCAAAAACTGACACGCATAACCCGATTATATTAATGGATTGAATGTCAACCTATTAACCCGAATCCAACATACTAACTTGTCTATTAAAATAGTCAAAATAATTAGTTTTTTTAATAACCCTTCTTACTACATAATAGTCAAAATAATTAGTCAAAATAATATATATAATTTGGTACTATATATATTTTAGTAAAAACTTTTAGTGGGCAAAATTTTTGATTTGGGCGGGCAAATTATACTATTCTTTCACTTTAAAGTCTTCCATAGTCTTGACTTACCGTTACAAGTTAGTAACCCACCTTCTATTCTTATGCAACTCTTCCTTCACCTTGACCTTCTGTTGTATTTTTCAAAAATAAAGTATATGTTTTTTAATTTTAATATGAATATTAATTAGTTTATTATGTAAGAGCACTCTCACTTATGGGCAAAAAATGCCCATACGAGAATATCATGGTAAAAGTGATAATAATGGCATTCCACTCATGAGAAAAAAAAATGCCTATGAGGAGATTATCAAATGTCCATGGAAAAGGCAAAATTAAAATGCTACAGTAGTCATGGGCCCCATCACTTAAATCAAAAAATTAGATAGTTTAAGAGAGAGAAAATGTAGGAGAGATAATGTGATGTGAGGTTTTTTTTTAGCCCATGAGTGTGTGAGGACTTGTTAAAATAAAATGCATGTGAGAAGAAGTGGAAAAGAGGAGTGAGAAAGTGGGTAGAGAGAGAATGACATAGTTTTATTTTGACCATGAGTGAGAGTGGTCTAAACTATATAATGTCTTGCATGAATTAATAAAGATAAGTGGGTAAAAGGTTAAGCGGGTTAGATTTAGGTTAAGGATTTTCAACCCGTTTGATAAATGGGTTAGGTTTGAGTTAAAAGTTTATCAATTCGCTTAAAATTGACACAAACACGAACCTGACACCACACGACACGTTTAACAGCCCTAACAAAGAGCATGCATCTAATAGATCATCCAATGGTTGTTCTAACACTGAATATAAAAGAGAACTCATCTAAACCTCGAGAAGAAAATGATCAGTAAATTCTTGGTCTCTATAAATACCAAATTCAAGTGCGATATATTGGCAACTTAATGAACTGCGGTTAACATTATGTACATTCTTTTTAGAATTGTTATTGGTATATCGAATCGCCAACAAAGATACATTGGAAATGAATAACACTTTTATTTCATTACCTTTGAAGTACACCAGATGTTGATGTATTCTATCGATCAATTTAGACATGCCACGTCACTCTCATTAGATAAACAAATGTTATATACTTACTCTTGGCTTTTTTTTTTTAAAGGAAAGGTAGCTAGCTTGGCTTTTATTAGACTAAATCAATTTCCACCAAAGTAGTTAAGCTTTGGGGAAAAGAACCAATACAAATATACTCCTCATAGTTACCAGTATTCCATCGAGCAATACTATAACAATTGTATTACAAGACCTTTTAACATGAGAAAAGAATACAAGAGACGAAAACCAAGCTAGTCTTCAGTCTTCACACCAAATAGAGTGAACTAGAGAAAAATCCACATACTACTCTTCAGTCTTCACACCTTGAGTTACGACCATTGCATCACTCTCCACATGAACATTCAAGTAGCCCAACCTTCTCCCAAGATGTAACCCAAATCTAGTGGCTAACACCTTTTCGGGGGAGGTTATGTATATTCTTTTCTTTTTTGTGGCTACTAATAGTTGACCTATTTCATAACAAATCACAGCCCCAAGCCCAGCTTCGTTACCATCCCTAATGTGCGCATTTGTGTTAACCTTCACTCTTCCCTATACAGGTTGTTTCCAAGAAGATGACGACGGATGTACGGGCTGGCAAAAGACCTAAACTTGTGTTATTTTGCTAAAACACTTTGTTGTCTTAAGTAAACCTAAATTTCTGTTATTTATACAAATATTGTGTTATATTTTTGCTAAAACCTTGGTTATTTGTTAAAATGTTGTGGTATCTGACTTAAATCTTGTGCTATTTTTCTAAAAACATTGTAAATAATTTTAATTTTTGTAAACATTAGCTCGTGCTATTTTAAGCATAACTTGTGTTATTTATTATGTTGAACTTTGTGGTTTTTTTTGGTAAAATCTTATTTTATTTTGCTTAGACAATATGTTATCTTTTATTTATTTTTTTTTTTTAAGTTTCACTATATTAGTTCTAGGTCAAGTTTCGTCCCCAAATTTATATAATGCGTTCGATTCTTCATCTCTTCTTCAAAGTACATCTCCTTCCTTCAAATCAATGATCAAATTTAATTAAATTTTCTCAAAATAAAAAATCCAATTCGATATTTAGGGTTTTAATATTTCTGATTATTGTTCGAATTTGAACAATTAGCTCTTCAATTTAATTAAATTTCTTGATAATCAACTAACAAAAGATGAAATTTCTTGAATACAATGTTGTACCAAAAAGCTGTTTATCTGTGAACATGAAGAATTAAAAAAAAAAAAAATGCAAAACTGAACATAGGAAAAAATTAGGAGCAAACCAAAATGTTGACGTTTTGGACCTGCACAATACATTTTAACAAAGGAAAATGATAAATATAGCCATAAGAGCTATGTATAAGATGCTAAAAAAGGAAATATTGAAAATAAAGTAACATTAATTATACCGATTTGTGCGTGATTTTGTCATAAACTCTCAACTTATTTCCATTTCCGAAAGTATATTTAATGGTTATCTATAATCCTAAGGGTTACATATATCATTACACTTAAAAAAATTATAAAATAGAGCATAGAAAAAATCAAGATCACGGTTTGACATTTTGGAATACCACAGTACTTCAAGAGTGCCATAGAAATTGCGAAAAGTGAAGATGTCGCATTTAATACTTTTGTTAAATCAAGGTATTATTTGTCGAAAAAAATAACATTCAATAAATTTACTACTCCTTAGCTCACAAACTCAACAAAAATCAAGATATGTGAATATTTGATGTCAAATTTGCCCAGTTATTATAAAAACAAAAAAAAAGCTTACACAAATTCCGCTATAAATAGCAATCTAACCGTTGTTTCTTCACATCGTTTTAAAATTCTGTAAATCCGCCTTTTATATGTTTCCTTTCTACTAGCTCTCTCTTTCTCTTCTTTTCTGGGTTTCTTTGTTCATCTTCAACACCTTCAAATTCTCTCTCCTAAAAATTAATCCTAAACTAATACTATTAATTATGGTTTCAACAAGAAATCAGAAAAAGCAATCTCACCCTTCTTCAGATCACCAAAAATGGGAAATTATCTTCAATGCTCTTCAACAAATGCTTCGAAAACAAGCTTCCCAAATCGATACTCTCATCGAACAACGCCAAAGTCTACAAGAACGCATTCAACTTCAATATCAGCGTTGGAATTCTGATGTTCGCATGTTAGAAGATATTATTGCTCAGGTTTCTTTCACCCTTCAATTTCCCCCACTTTTGGTAATTAGGGTTTTTGAATTTATTGAGTTTTGTGATTTTGCAGAAGGAGAGACAATTGTCGTTGTCTGAATTTGAGAAAAGGGTTGAAATCTTTAAGGCCGATTTTCTGCTGGGTTCTAAGCAAAGGGAAGCATTGGTTAATAAGCGTAAATTAGGTATCTTTCTTTATGATAATTCTCATTAGGGTTTTTATTTACTCCGTATTAATTTATTTGTTTTTGTAAAAATGTTAACTGTATGATTGTTAGTTGTAACGGCATAATTTTATATTTCTCAAAGGGGCTGGATTTTAATATTTGGGTATGATTTTTCCCTTCATCTTACTTTTTAAAAGAATTAGAAATTCAGAAATTGTGAAAATTTATTCTGTTATTTCAATTTATTTGTTGGGGATATTTTAGTTTTTTTTTCGGAATTCTGAATTACCCTTTAAAGTTTGGAAGCAGTCAAATTTAATCTCTGCAATAATGCAGTTTGTGGAATAATACTTAATATCTGTTTTGATTTTTTTTGAAAATGTTTAGGTGTTAAAAAAAGAAAAAAATAAACGTTGGGAAACACTCACTTTATACATTTAAATGAAAAATTTTACTTAATTTTGTTCCCGCGAATCCTGTACCCATCATTTGTTGAGCTTCGTCATTGTAATTGAATGATTGTCCATCCTTATATAGTTCTATGTCTATGTTACTTCAAAGTTGTAAAATTTGATCCAACCATTTGCAAATGAAATTCAATTCATAATTTTATTTTTGATTTGCATCTTCTTTTTTCGCATTGTACTGGAAAACATGAAGTATTGTTTGTTGTTTAATGTTTAATGTTGATATAATGCAGAACATGCTGGGAGTGAGTTGGATGATTTTAAAGCCTGGTTTGACATTCTGTCTCATAGATGCCCCGATAAAGAGGTAAGGTGTATTGCAATCGCTATCTGTGAATCTGTGATTGCTGCTGGTAAATTGACTACCAATTGGTATCTTCTTGTATCTAACAATACCTTGTCTTGCCTTGTAGGATATGACTCCGGATAGAATATATGAAAGTCTGAAAGCAAATGGTGGACATATCATCTCTAACGAGGCATCGAAGCATCAAACTAAGCTTGAAAAGGAAGTGGCAACTCTAAAACATGAATATGAGAAGCTTTCTGTGAAACACATGTCTGATATATCTGCCCTCAAGGATGAAAACAAATTTGTTTGGAATCAATACAAGACGATGGAGGGTAAATACTCTGATCAACTGAAGACTAAGAATGATGAAGTTGCTCAAGCAAATGAGAAGATCACAAACCTCCTTAATAATATGGAACAACTGCAGTCGGCAAATGTAGAGAAGGATGAGACTGTTGCAACTCTAAGGGCCAAGGTCACTGAGGTAGAGGTTGAAGTGAACAAAAAAGATGGAGATATTTCCAGAATCTCAAAAGAATTAGAGTTGTTAACATCTACAAACACTGATGGTGTACCTTTGCTAAATCAGTGCTCTACTGAGTTTTCATCTTCTGGATTGAAAGTTAGAAGAAGCAGCAGAAAAAAAGAGAGTGCTGTTCTAAACGAAGAAGCAACTGCTGTTCAGCTACGGGCTACCATTTCAAGTTTGAGAGCCAAACTTATTGAGTTGGAAGCAGAGGGAAACCGAAAAAGTGAAGAAATTTTCAGACTGTCAAAGGAATCAAAGTTGCTAAGTTCGAAAACCCCTACTGTTATGCCTGTGTTAAAACGCTGCATGAATGAACCATCCTCTTCCAGCGGTAGGGGCAGAGGTAGAGGCAGGAAAGGTGGAACTGCTGCTGTGGAGGAAGAATCATCTTCTATGCAACTTGATGCTACAATTGCAACTCTAAAAGACAAAATCAGTGAGTTGGAGGCTCAGTCAAACCAAAAAAATGAAGAAATATCTGCACTATCTAAGGAATTAAAGTTAATTAAATCTAAAAGCGCTGCTGATACGCCACTTGTTTTAAACCATAGTCGGCCATCATCATCCAGGCTGAGAGTTAGATCAAACAGCACGGTTAGTGAGAGTGCATCTTTGAAGGAACAAGTAAGTAGACCTAGACTGTCATTTATCCCCTTTGCCTCCCCTCCCCTCCAAAAATTTGTGCAAAAGTACTTTTCATCTTGCATAAGCTCATGAACTTTTCCATTCTACAGGCACATTTCTTTTATACTTTATGTGCTCAATTGTCTCTGTTGTTTGCGCTGTCCCACAAAAGCTCATGAGATTGTGCTTTTAATATTAAAACATTCCTTTGTAGTAATTCCTTAATAACTTGTGGGAAACGTCTCCTGTATATGACTTCTATCCTGAAGTATTTTCAGACGTCTACGCCATTGTTTTTGGCTTGGAACAGTAGGTTACACGGGAAATTTATTGGGAATTCACATTTTGAAAATCAAAATACCTACCATGAATCTAGGTTAAACAGGAAGTTTATTGGTTATTTATTCCTCCAAAACTTGTTGGAGGGGCATACACTTTTTTTTTTTTTTTTCTTCATCGTAGGTTCAAGTAATGAACTAGGGGGTAATAGTTGTGTTATTACTTGAGTGGGAATTCACATTATGAAAATAACAATACCTACCATGAATCTAATTTGCACAGAGATGGGAACATATGTAAAAGGGACAGGAAACCAAAAATTTCACAAATTTAAGATATGAGATCATTGATATGACAAGGAATGACAATAAAATTTAAATATATGAATAGTTCTGAAAAAAATATTTGGACTCCCTTTTTTTTTTTTTTTTTAAAGCTACACTTGCTATTTTCGTCTTTTTTTTTTTTTTTTTAAAAGCTACACTTCCTCTTTTGGAAACCTTTACCATTTAATATTATATTTCTACCCACTAATGTTCCCCATTCACTCTTACTTTATAATTTCTCACTCTTCCAATGGTCCCACTCTCACACCACTTTACTTTTCAATAAAGTAATAACCCCACTATCTTTTTTTACTATTTTTTATTACCTTATCTACCCCACTAACATCTTTTTTTTTTTTATTTATTTTATTTTTTTTATTAAATCTCATAAAACTCCGCGCAACCCCAACTCTAGCTTTAAAAAAAAAAAAAAAACGGGGGGAGTAAGATTCACCTCCACAACATCAAAAGTGCTAACAAATGTACAAATGTGCAAAAATAAATATACAAGTAGTAAACTTTGAAAGTTAATGAACTAGAAACAATTTAGTTGGATGTAGACAATAGTTCAATTTACCATATTGGTATAAAGAAGTTCTTTTCTTCAAAAAAATAAACCTCTGAATATTCTGCGCAATCCCAACTCTAGCTTTAAAAAAAACTGGGGAAGTAAGATTCACCTCCACAACATCAAAGGTGCTAAAAAATGTACAAATGTGCAAAAATAAATATACAAGTAGTAAACTTTGAAAGTTAATGAACTAGAAACAAATTAGTTGGATGTAGATAATAGTTCAATTTACCAGATTGGTATAAAGAAGCTCTTTTCTTCAAAAAAATAAAAAAAGCTCTAACCACATTAATCCATCTGGTCATTTGGGCATATATATTTGTTGGAATGGAGAAATTCTGAATTGTGATTGCCTGACATAGTGATGTCTAATTCGAATTTTTTTGTTTAGCTGTACAATTATGTTTTCCATTTATATTCAGCTTTTATATATAAGGAAAGAAAGGGGGTCGTGAAAATTATTAGTATTTATAAGCTAGTGGCAACGCCATCAATTTAGGAAGGCTAAGAAGGAAGAAGCAATAATCTAGTAGCGACTCCATCAATTTAGGAGGGCTAAGAAGGAAGAAGCATTAGTAATTCTAGCAATAAGTGGCTTGTTTAATTGCCTTGGCATTGTTGATTTGTTTTTGGTGAAATTAGAGCATTGGTAGGAAGAAAAAAGGAGAGAGAGAGAAATGGGTATTTTTCTTAATTTAGGGGATAGGTTAATTAACTAGGGGAAGGAGGAAGAAGCAATGGTGATGCTAGAAATGATTGCCCTGCTTGTAGTGAAAATGAGATTTAGTGTTTGATGCTTTATCTCACAAGGAAATTGAAGTATTGGCTAGTAAAACGGTTGAAAGGAGAGAAAGAGAGAAAATGGGTTTAATTTGATATAGGCGATATAGGGAACTTAATTAAGCAAAGGAAGAAGCAACAGTGATACTAGTGATAAGGGCCCTGCTTGATTGCCTAGATGTTGTTGATTAATTTGGTGAAAATATGTTTTAGTTGTTTGAGACTTTGAGCTCACAAGGGATTCAGAGCATGAGCTAGTAGAATGGTTAAGAGAGGGAGGAAGAGTGAGAGAGAAAATAGGCTAATGAGGATAGCGATATCGGCAATAAATACCTTGCTTGATTGTCTTGGCATTGTCGATTTGTCTATGATGAAAATGAAGTTTAATTGATTGGGGCTTTAAGCTCACAAGGGATTTGGGTAGTAGAAAAGCAAAAAAGAAGAGAGAAATTGGTATCTGTCTAAATATAGGGGTAAAAAGGGGAATTAATTAGGCAAAGGAAGAAGAAGCAATATATTATTAGCAATAATGGCCTTCTTGATTGCCTAGGCATTGTTACTTTGTCTACTGTGAAAATGTGTTCTAGTTGTTTGAGGCTTTGAGCTTTAAAGGGAATTAGAGAATTGGCTAGTAGAACGGTGAAAAGGTAAGGGAGCGTGAGAGGAGTAGGGATCTGTTTTAAAGTAGGGAATTTTTAGCGATACTGACAATAACTGCCCTGCCTGGTTGACTTGTCATCGCTGATTTGTCTATGGAAAAGATGAGCTATAGTTGTTTGAGGCTTTGAGCTCACAAGGGACTTAGTGAATTAGGTAGTAGAAAAGTTAAAAAGAGCAGAGAAATTGGGATGTGTTTGAATATAGTTAAAACAAATTACAATTTTCAGGGTAATAGGAAGTAAAGGGACTAAAGACGCGTGCCCGATTTAATATAGGCTCAAATGAGCAATTCCACACCCCCCCCTTTTTTTTTCCACACTTTAGTTGTCAACTACAACACTGAATGTACATTAACAGTTGTCAATGGTCAACACAATCTAAAACAGCTCACATGGCTTATTAATCAAAAGTTTCGTGTAGTGGTACAAAATGCACGTCCACAAGATGTCTTTAAACTTTCTAGCTGTCCCAAATTTTCTTCACATATCCTAATCTCCCTCTAGTTCCTCATACCAACCTATTAGTGGACTTTCAGGTACTCAAGACATCTGTTGCTAAAAGAATAAAGTTGAAAATTAGAATTACTGAAGTCAAATTGTAACTTGAGGAATTATTTTAGCCTTTGTTTCTTCAGGCTTATCAATATTGTATAAGCCCCGATTGGTTTTTGTATGTATACAGAACAAGAGAAAGTATTCACAATTTAATTTGCAATTAGTCACCCCAAATTTGTAGAGTTGTAGACATTACAACAATTGTAAACTAAAGCTCAATCTTTTTTAATCTTGGCTTTTCACATACACCCTCCGTTTTCTTTTGAAGTACTCAATTACAGAAGACTCTTGTTGTAAGCAAAAGATGGATAAAGTAAGAGTCTATAAAGAAGTGTAACTATTGTATAATAAGGGGATAAGAATATAAGATGGTAAACTTTGTTTGTTAAATAAAGACTAAAGCAGAAGTATGTACTTCAAATAAAAAAAATAAAATGGAACGTGGTACATCAATATAAAACAAAGGGAGTACTATACAAGAGCTTTTGGAGACATTCATGAAACATCATTTAAGCTTTCATTATTCCCTTTGAATTTAAGTGCATCAGTTTAACCGCACAAATTATAGGAGGGTGATTTGAACGAAGTGAAATGTTGTACTGCCTACGTGTTTTAATAAATGTTACACTTTGACCAAACATGCATGTCGAGACACGACTTTAACCATTAATTTATCTAATTATATGTTAGTAAAATTATAGGAAAATTGATATTATAAAAGTATACATCATAATGAATCCAAAAATGTATTGTACAATAACATTTGTTTTAATTATTAGTAAATTAATCAAGTCAAAACTATTATGTGAATAGTAAAATAAAGTCAAAGTGTAACCCTTATTAAAACACGGAGAGAGTAAGTGAGATTTGTTTGGGAATCAAAAATAATAAGAAAGAGATATAATAGGTAAATAGTTTTTTCAAAAGTAAGGGATGTAAAAAAGGAAAAAAAAAAAAAAGGAGTGGAGAGAGATATTTGTAAAAGAAAAACAATAGTAGATTACAAAAGAGAAAGTGATGCACTTAAAGAAATGGCCAATTATAGGAATTGATGCACATACAAAGACTGACCGATTATAGGAAGTGCACTTTTGGAGTATATCTTTGGCATTTGATTTATTAAAATATATGTTGAAGAAGAATAATTAGTGCCATGGTTTAGGATTGTTGCCTATGGTACAGAGTTGAGGATCTTTAAGAAATTAGTCAGCCAAGGTGTATATGAGCATTGCATATATCTAACATGTTCAATATAGATTCTGGCTGAGAAGTCCAAACCAACTATGGTAAAGGGCACGTGAACTGTTTTACACAGTTGACAGGGTTCAGAGAGAGGTGGCAAATCTTGGGTGTTACACAGTTAGAAAGACTCATGGAGGCAGTATCATCTAGGTTCCAGCAGTTGTCATGTTACTGCAGTATGATCCCCCTTTGATTCTGAGCAGTGTGCTTTAGGTTATCTATCTTTGGAATCTTGTGGGTTAGGGTTCTGTGTCAAATGAGGCCTTGATTGGATGCAACTTCTTGTAAAAACCTGATGGCATTAGCTTGGTTAAGTAGTTATTGGGGTCTGTTATGCAATTTCAGATCATTTTTGTTATGTGCTTTGTGTGAAAACCAAATGTTGGGTTCTGATGGGATCAAAACTGGAATATGAAGGCTTAGTGAAGCACATGAGCCCAAATTAGGAAATTACTTCACATATCGGGGACTGCGGCTGTTTTTATTCTGATAGAAAAATGTAGGTTTCCAGGAACAAGGTATTCCTCAAAGGCTCAAACATTTTATGCAAGTTAAATGACATTTTACAAATCATTTGCACAAAGCCTGTGTCTATGAAGTAAAAATAAAACCTAAGAAGATAGAATCTTCCCATTAGCCCATCTATCAAATCTCACCATAAGACATGTCTCACTATGTTGATGCAAACCATAGTTCTACTTCTACCGCTGAAGTTTGGGGCTTTACATTGCTGTTTTGATATCTTATGGTTTTTTATATCGCCCCAGAATGGAAGACTTTCCATAGTATCTGTATATGAAATATATTTTTTAATTTATGTTGAACTAGTTTCAATATAATGCCCAGCAGTCTCGCATACTAATAGCTGTAGATGGTTTTGATTGGATATGACTTGGGGGAGGAGAATGGGAGAGAACTATTTCTTCCCTTTCTAATAATAGATCTATCCTTCAAATGCTAGAAAGGTTTACACTATGTCTGGATGATTATAGTGAAGGGAAAGGGAGGAGATGGAAAAAGAGGGAAGAGAAAGGGAGGGGTGAGGGGAGGGAGAGAGTGATGTTCCATTTTCCTCCCAACTCTCTCCAACAATGTTGGAGGGATTTGGTTTATTGAAATGTCTTATCCAATTAAGGGAAATTATATCTCCCTTTTCCTCCAAATTTTCCTATCCAAACATAGTGTTAGAAAAACGATGCAAGCTCATTCTTTCCCTTAACTCCCCATTTTCCCCTTCCTAAACATACTGGACCAGGGCCTTTTTGGTCTTGGTGAACTAGACCAGTTGCTCGGAAAGGAGAAGTACAAGTTTCATGATCTAAATTTCTCAATAAAATTTGGGATTACTGGAGTTCAGATATTCTACTGTGGTTTCACCTCTATGATCCTAGTAGAAAATTTGGATTTAGGTGCTGAGAGTTTGCTCATTTTATGATGAGTGTGATTCTGGATAATAGTGAATCGTCAAATATATGAGAACTATTTTTCTATAACTTGGACACTTAGTGAAAACTAATACCATTTTGGTAAAATCAATTTTGGTTTTTATATGGAATTATATCATCTAGAGGGTAATAGACACGAGGGTGGTAAATATGTTCGTTCCTTACACGTGTGTTTCCTTCTGGGTATGTAGCAGGCAAATGGATGTTCGCAGTGATTTTGGAGTAATGGTTAAATCAATTATGTTTTCCTGAACCAAACTAGTTTTGATTCAGTTCTAGATGAACAGTACTCTCTGAGGGGAGGATGAGCAGGAGGGAGGTTATACGCTTATGCCTTGCAGTCATGTATGTTTGGTTTTGCGGTTATATAGCAGGTTGTCTAATGGTTGTTCCCAGTGAATAGTTTATATAGTATTGTTTGAAACAATTTTGTTTTCCTGAACTAAACTAGTTTTGAAATTCAGTTCCATGATGTGTGCTCTCTAAGCGTACCTCTTTTTTTTTTTCCTCTATAACCAGAGTGGTTCACGGTCTAAGAGAAAGCGAGATGTTATCTGTATTGAGGAAACACCAAGGTTATTCACATCCCAGTTCAAAATCCCAAAATTGAGGAGCCAATCTCCTCATGGAAGATGACATTCCTTGCTGCCTCACTTGTTTCTCCAGGAAGGGAGAAATTTGTACAGATATCCATTAGGCTCATATTTTTTGTAGTGGATTTGTTATTTAGCCGTAATTATGAGTCCTCTTTTCTACAACGAGTAATATGTAATGTTAATACTTCCCGTCTGCTTCGAGAAAAATATAGATTAGAGCTGTAGATTTTTGTAAAAGCTCTGCCTCCGTCTGTCTTTCTCAAAAAAAACCAGATGATCCCTGTTGTTGTACCAAGTTAGGCAACTATTGTAAGCTGTAAGCTGATTCTTTTGTGTGTAGACAAGAATTACTCTGTAAATGCAATTATCATCTTGTTATTGTACCAAGTTAGGCAACTATTGTAAGCTGTAAGCTGATTCTTTTGTGTGTAGACAAGAATTACTCTGTAAATGCAATTATCATCTTCCAGGGTGTGCAAAGTTCTGTATCCAAATTTTCACTTGTATTATATGGTGTTCCTTTACTTTTCTTTCTTTTACAAGCCTGTTGTGTGGCTCCGGGGTAAAAAAAAAAAAAAAAAAAAAAAAAAAAAAATTTCTTGACCAGCTAACATTAGCATACCATTGAATGCCTTTGCTGCTGTCCTTAACTTTATAATATGGAGTCTCACTGGTGACGGGATGATTATCCGTGGCGCCAAGCCTGTGTCCTCTGTCATGAACTCATGATTTACCTTGAATGATTCAGTTAATAGAGGGTTTTACATCTCTTTGGATTGTCATGAACTTATAGTGGAGCTTGTGGTACTTATTGCTTATTTTACACCTGTTGGTTGTTATTTGTTTTCTTTTTGGTCTTTTGTTTTTTTAATTGCATAAAAAATTAATATTATACAACATTTGTTTTAGAATAAGTGTATTACTTACCGGTATACATATCAATGTACATTTTTATAAAATCATGAAATATGCTTACTTTCATTATGCTAACCTTTTTTATTTCTTAATAATATATAATTACAAATATTAAAGGTCAAAGTTATGCATTGATGTGTATTGGTCAAAGTGTTATTATTATAAAATAAAGGGAGTACATTATTAGAGGGTTTGTCTAACATTTTTCGGCAGTTGCACAACCTATTTAAGCGAATGGAGAATATTAAACCAAATTTTTAGACTTCATCTTTTCAACTAATTAAAATATAAAAAGATTTTCGTCAAAAAAAAAAATAAAAATAAAAAGATTATCATTTTATTCATTAGAATAGTTTTATTAATAAAGAATAATTTAGGGCTTATTTTGTGTCCTCATGGGCACATGTAAGAAAATACGTATAAAGTAAAAACTTATATCGATTACTATTTGAATATACACTAGATAATTCCCGAGCCATTGTCGGTTTTTAGAGAAATATAGCACAATAGTCAATAATAATAATAATAATAATAATAATAATCTCTTAAAAAAATATTATAATAATGAATAAATATAATAATGTTAAATATGGAAGAGAAATAAAGAGAGATAGGAGAAAAATTGGGGAGAGAATAAAATAGTTTCTCTTATTCCATAGAGTGGGGTATATATATACATACAATATAACAAGGGTTTGCTTAGATAACAATAAACCCTAGATCTAGAATATTCCGGAATGATAAGTGGAGGATAATGGATATCCATACAATATTTCATAACACTCCCCCTTGGATGTCCATTATCGAAGAGTGTGCCTCGTTAAAACCTTATTAGGAAAAACCCTGTGGGATGAAAACCTAATGAAGGAAAAAGAGTATAACATTCTTCGTAATACGCTCAAGATGCCGCCTCATTAAAAACCTTACCAGGAAAACCCAATGTGGGACAAAACCATGGTCAAGGGAAAAAGAGTGCAGCGCGTATTGTCTTCCCCTGATGAATACATAACTTGAGATCTTCTAGTGCCGCAACAATATATGAATCCAATATAGTTGGATATCTTCTAATATGTAGTAAAATATCATTCGTTGGTCTTTGATCCTCCTAAACTTAAATTGCATCTTCAAGTCTTCAAGTGAACATGTGAAGTGTCTTCATTCACCATACATGTATTTATCTCTACATCATTCCAAACCTCTGTTTGAATAAAGTTACTTAAAAGTTAAACTTATGCGGTTAGACCTTCTTCTGGAGGTCGTGAATAATAGAAATATGATCATTATATGATCAAACATTCATTAATAATAATTTGATGACAAAACTTGATATTATTAATGTCGTTCTTCAATCTTATTTGAATTATAATATAACACATGTAATTTGATACGCTAATCATGGTCTTCTGGACCATAAGAAAACATTCTCACGCATTAAGTATTCCATTGATATTCTTTAGACATTTCATAATTGACACGATAGCTCTCTTGCAAATACAAAAGCAAATCTCACTAACTTTCATATGCTCAAACTTCATGTTGAGATGTCAATGATGTATTCACATAGACTTTTTAAAAGTTTGATAATAATTGCAATATTCAAGATATAAAATTTGTAGGGCTATAAATACGTTGCATATAAGTTCTTCGGGAACTTTTCTTACATGATTCATAAAGAATATTAGATCAACATCACATATAATTTCATCATAATTATAAGCCCGTTGGAATATAAATATGTCTTTCTAATTTTTCATTTAAGTTGTAAATATGCCTTACTATACCTTGAATGAACATGCACAAACACCACAAATATTATATAGAAACTAATGCATGCAATATGAGATATAGAAAACATGATAACATATTAAACAAAATATACAATAAGTAATGCATCTAACAACTACTGACATATGCAATGAACAATCCGTTAACCTATGACTCATACATGCATATAAACATACATAAGACTCAAAATAATGCAAGACATTGTATAGTGTGGATTTAAAATCCATATTTCATTGGACTTCTGGTCCATGATAAACTTTTGATCGTTATCATTATGTCGACATCAAAATGGACATATATATTTCAGATCCCTTATTCACTAGTCCATTCTATTATGCATATGCATATTATTTATCGGTTCCCTTGTGTACCGGTATCATAATATTCCTTTAACGTACATTTCGCATGCTATTTTACTATGATATCTTAATACATTTCTTATTGGTACCATCATAACTTCCTTACATCATAGGCCATCTATTGTAATAATTCAGATATCTATACCACTTTTAGGGCATTTCATACACTATGGTATTTATATACTATTACGCTATTAGTGTTAACTGTACTATCTTGCCATATATCATATCCATTAGAGATATCTTTATTTTGGAACCGATCATACAACCTACACTTCAGGTGTAGTGATTCAAATATAATTGGCAAGATTTTATCTCAATGTATACACATAATATGACCAAAAAGTATTTTCAACGCTATGTAACATGAGTCATAACTAAATACAAATCAAATCATACATGTGCAACATATATTGATAATATATAGACAAAAGTTGGCATATAACTTTTCAAACTACCTTTATAGGGATCATCGATTATATTTTTCGATCTTTCTAACTTTTGCTAATTCTTCTCTCCCTAAGTTGGTAAAATATCTCATTTATAGGGGCGTCTAATTTTATACCAACTTAGTATAAAAATTTGTATTAAAATTCATTTCATGGGAGGATCATAATCAAGAAAATTTATCTCTCGGGAGAATTATATTAAACAAGCTTTTATCTCTTCTAGAGAGAAATCTTAAAGAAAAATCATTTCTTCATTAGCTATACATTGCATAACGCATATGTATTTATTATTAATTTTTTCATAATTTGTTCTCTTCAGGATATCAATATCAATGGGGAGACATATGTTGTGCAGTTGAATTTCCTTCTTTTCCAATTTCTTATGTGCTGACATACAATAGCCCCAATCAATAGAATTGTTATACAAATATAAACTTGATTGTAATTCTACTAGGTGATGATCTTCTAGACCACTAGAAACCTTGATAGTATGATACTAATTAAATATTCAGAATTTCCTCATACAACTTGTATTTGGTGAGCTTCTGGTCACCAACATGTGACAACATATAAGTTATTCTGGTGAACTTCTAGTCACCTATTACTCTTTCGTATGAAAATTTATTCAAAACGAATATATTATCTCTTGAAATTTTCTTCAACACAAATCATTAAAAATTACAATCCAAATATAGTTTAATCTCAATGTTATGTCTTGCCATTCAATTCATTTCATATATCTAACATTGAGAGAGTGTCAGCACATTATCAAATGAAGCTTCAGGTTTCCATAACGGGTATTTATTGAACCTGGATGGCCTAATTTAATTATCACATCCAATCATTTATCTAAATTTATATTATGGTTAGTTTTCCAACACTGGTGATCACTTTATGAGACATAATATGATGTGATATTAGAACACCAACATGTGTTTCTTTATATAATTGGCAAGACAATCGACTAATACTTGATCCAAGATTTTATACTCTGCTGGAGCTTTGACTATAATCTTGGACATGCTAAGCTTGTTGGATAATTCTATACTCTTCTAGAGTACTCTATATAATCATGGTATATATCCATTTTACTAAATATAATCTCTTATAAAGATCTATCAAAATGTATCGCTTCCTCAAATTTGCTATTATTAATAATTGCTCTTTTCCCGATTCAAGATTCTTATATTTTGTTTTGGAACCTATTGAAATACCACGCTTTAGGCGTGCTTTAGGTTCATTAGAAATTGATGTTTGTTTTCCTTCTGCGACATCAGTTTTAATTGGAGCATTTACATTTGGTATATAGATAAATAATGACATCTATTCATATCCATCTTCAGGATGGTATCATTTTGAAATATATTAATTTAACATGTGGCCACTTTTATTAAATAAAACGTTAATATTTAAGTTAATGTATGTACCAAACTGACCATCAATATATATTTATTATTTATGTGCAAGAATTACATAAAATAATGAAATAAATACTATCTCCCCCTAATCCTTGCATGTGGGGGAATTAAATTAATCCAACTACTTTAAATCTCTTGCACCTTTTTAAGCCATAAATTCTTTTATCAATGCATGTATCAAGCAAAGTAAAATGATTTTTATAAAACTCATATTCGTTCCTCTTGCCTAATTATATGAATTTTTATACTAAAATTCTCAAATTAATATTTTTTTTAATAGAATTTAAGGAACTAAAATAAGATTCACTAAACCAAATAACTTAAATTAATAAATGACTGATAATAATAATAATGAAATATGCGAAACGTAAAAATGTCCAAATACATAAATTGTTCAAAAACAAATGTTCCATAAAGCATAAAGTCATAGTACTTAGATGAAATTCTATAATAAATGCAAGCTAATTAATAGAGTTTATACGCCAATGGGACATAATTTATTCAATTATTTTCTTCAGGATTAAGAAAGAAATCAGCCGTTTCCAGGTGAGTTGTATCACCGTAACCAAAATCACCTTCGCCATCCTCGTACACCAAATTTGTTTCCACTTTCTTTCCTTTCTGTTTGATTGATTGTTGATAGAGGTCTACTAGATATTTTGGTGTGCGAAACACACGAGACCAATGGCCTTTTGCTCCACAACGGTAGCATATATTTTCATTTTTATCCTTCTCATTCTTATTTCCATCTTTATTGTCCCACTTCTGGTGAGAGTATGAGTTCCTAAAATGACCACCTCGACCACGATCATGTCCACGTCCACGGCCGCGACCACGGCCTCGACCACGACCGCTGGCGTGATCTCTAGCCTTTTGCTCTTTCCCACTATGGGATGTCGCATTTGCTTCAGGGAATGGAGTAGAGCCAGTTGAGCGTGATTCATGATTTTTTATTAATAGTTCATTATTTTGCTCGGCCACAAGGAGACAAGATATCAATTCAGAATATTGTGTAAAACCCTTTTCACGATATTGTGTCTGCAGGACAACATTGTTTGCATGAAAAGTAGAGTATGTTTTTTCTAACATTTCTGCATCCGTGATTTTCTCTCCACATAATTTTAATTGTGATGTAATTCTAAACATGGCTGAGTTGTATTCACTCACATACTTAAAGTCTTGTAATTTTAAATGTAACCAGTCATAACGAGCTTTTAGTAATACCACAGTTTTCTAGTGGTCATACCTTTCCTTTAGATTACTCCAAAGGACTTGTGGGTCTTTAACAGTCAAGTACTTAGTCTTAAGGCCTTCATGAAGGTGATGGCGAAGGAATAACATAGCTTTAGCCTTATCTTGGCTTGTTGCAGTGTTGTTTTCTTTAATAGTATCACCAAGTCGCTTTGCATCTAAATGTATTTCAGCATCTAACACCCAAGACAGATAGTTGTTTCCAGTAATATCAAGAGCAACAAATTCGAGTTTTGCAAGGTTTGACATGATTCACTGATATATAAAACAATATTATAAATTAGGAACTAAGATGGTATAATAAATATATATACTCCAAGTATCAATTAAGACAACTAATTTCAAGTAAGTAATTATAACAAGATTTGCGTATTGAACCTTGAGAAGGTTACCGTTCATGAGGCCACAATTAAGTCCACTAATCAATTATCATAACAAAACATGAAACCTTAATTGATAAATTTATATGTAATACTTGACACTAATACTTTGCCTAACTTTAGCTACTGTTAAAGTCTTTGACTCAAAATAAACCAATCCGACTAGTTCGTTGATTCATTATTAATAAACCAAACCCATAGATTAATGTGTAATTGATACAACTATACAAATCTTTTATCAAACATCAAGGCAGTGAATGGAGTGTAAATTAAAAGATATAATTTGTAATATAATTGGGTTAGCAGGGTAAAGCATTGATACATAATATAATATAATATTATTTATTTATTTTCAATCACAAAAAGATAATTATGGGTTAATTGATAAAAGGTATGCAATTGAACAACCGAAACATGCTAAGCGCCTCTATCTAAGGATTATAGCTAGCAATCAGTAGCATGTGTGCAGCTTAACTTTTCTAGTCGAGGAATTGTAAAGTTGCTAATATTAATATGGCTGAATTCCTTCGTAGGTTTGTTTAGTCGGCTGTGATGCTGATAACGTGTTAAATATGGAAGAGAAATAAAGAGAGATAGGAGAAAAATTGGGGAGAGAATAAAATAGTCTCTCTTATTCCATAGAGTGGGGTATATATATACATACAATATAACAAGGGTTTGCTTAGATAACAATAAACCCTAGATCTAGAATATTCCGGAATGATAAGTGGAGGATAATGGATATCCATACAATATTTCATAACAAATAATTTTTTTTGGCAAATTAATGCTTCTTAAAAAAAAAGGTAAAGCTTAGGCGGGAAAATTCCCTCAAAAAAAAAAAACTCTTGCTTTAATATTGAGTAATAGATTTGTACATGACATTCATTCCATACCCAATAAAAGAGTATAAAAGAGATGCACTACACGTAGTACTGTCAAAACGGTTTGACAGTTCGGTTTGAAATCGGGTCGGTTTGAAATCGGTTCAAATGTCTTATGGGTCGGTTTCAGTTCGGTTTAAATAATTATCGGTTTGATTCGGTTTCGGTTTATTTTTGAACGGTTTAAATTCGGTTTGGGTTGTAAACGGTTCGGGTAGTAAACGGTTCGGTGCAGACGGATTGCGGTTTGTTAACGGTTCAATGTAAACGATTTTTATCCCGGTTTAAATTCGGTTCGGGTTGTAAACGGTTCGGGTAGTAAACGATTCGGTGCAGACGGGTTGCGGTTTGTTAACGGTTCGGTGTAAACGGTTTTTATCCCGGTTCAAACAGTTTCGGGTTAGAAACGGTTTGGTTCTTTTTTGGTTCAGTTTAATTTTAGTTTGGTTTATAACTGGTTCGGTTTGTTAACGGGTTTGGTTCTTCTACGATTTAATATTATTTGGATCGGTTTTATTTCAAGTTTACTAAATTACGGTTTGGGTCTGTTTTTTATTTCAAAAAAATCGGTTTTTTATCGAGTCGTTTGGATACTGGCAATTAAACGATTTTGGTTTGAAATTTTATACTACTTTCTAACTTTTTGCTTGTTAACAAGTTTTATATCAAGCCGAGATTTCATCACTTCATATTGAGGCATCATATTATATGCAAATTCTCATTAATTTTATAAATACATATCATGTTATGTTTCCAGTTTAGCCATACTGATCTTACTAGTTTATTACGAATTAGATTATAAAAGTTTAGTGCATTAATGTAATATTGTTTTACTATCAGATTATTATCTGCTTCTTATTTGATCATTTAGTTAATAGTGTACATCATACTGAGGTCATAATAACGAGGGATGAATTGAGGAGATAATGACCCGCACTGACCCGCCCTATAACCACCCCTAGTAGGAAGTGGTTTGTAAACGGTTCGAATTATAAGCGATTCGGTTCATAAACGGTTCGGTTTATAAGTGGTTCGGTTTATAATCAGTTCGGTTTATAAACGGTTCGGTGCAAACGGGTTGCAGTTTGTTAACGGTTCGGTGTAAACGGTTTTTATGTCAGTTCAAACGGTTTCGGGTTAGAAACGGTTCGGTTCATATTCGGTTCGGTTTCCTTTTAGTTCGGTTTAGATTTGGTTCGGTTCTTAAACGGTTTAACGTTTACTCGGACGGTTTGGTTTTGGTTTTACTAACATGCGGTTCGGGTCGGTTTTCGGTTTCATAAAATTGGTTTTTAATCGGTTCGGTTCTCATTCGGATCGGTTGAAACAGTTCGGTTTCACCAGTTCGGTTCGGTTTTTGACAGTGCTAACTACACGAGATAGGCCATTGCTAAGTCTACAGTAAATGAATGGTGTGTCTGGATTTGTTGAAGCCCAATATTTAGAACATTTGTCTGTGGGCCAGTGGCCCAAGGTTGTCGGTGAAATTTAACCCAAAATGTCTAGAAGCCGATCTTGCAATTATGCAACCATTAAAGGTGCGTTTGTAGTTTTATTATTGTCAACCTTGGTAACCATGCATACGTACGTAAGTTTACTTTTACTTAAGTTCCGTTTGACATTGTTTTTTTGGTTTTTTAAAAATTATATGTTATATGTCATATATCTATCTATCTATAACTATTTAAAAGCCACAAGTTGGCAAAATAATGACCTCCTTAGAAATAGTGTGAGGACTATTTTGCCCTCAATTTAAGCCTACAAAAAGTCCAATTACTTCTTTGTCCTTGGCTAACTTTTGCAACTTTTGTTGATTTGTTTTGTAGTGGCCAGCTCATTGTTAAGGGGGCAGCAGTCAGGGGGATTAATATACGTGACTTCTTCATGCAAGTGTGGAGTGGCAGCTGGCAGCTGGCAGCTGGCAGCTTAGCTGTTGTGCGACAGCGGAAGCAAAGGTCGAAAACAAACAAGAAAACAATAAAGAAATTCAATGCAAACAATAAGAACAACACCAAGAATTTACGTGGTTCACTATCGATGTGATAGCTACGTCCACGGGCACCGAGATCGAATGATTTCACTATAAACTGCAAAGATTACAAAGATGATTCTTGTATTTCTCAAGAACGGCTTTCACTCTGTCTCTCTTAACCCTTATACTAATATTAGGGAGGTTTTATATTAATCCCTAAAATAAAAGATACTTGGGCAAAAAAATAATAAAATAAGATAACCTAAAACCGCAAAATCCGCGTTCCGTATTTTTCCTTCTCCGCCCGGTCAGACCGGGCAAGGTCTGCCCGATCGGGCGCGAGAAGAAGACTCCATACGAATGCTTCAACGTATCCAACCCCCACCGCCCGGTCAGACCGGGCAAGGTCTGCCCGATCGGGCGAAGGCTCGCCCGGTCGGGCGAAGGCTCGCCCGGTCGGGCGCGAGAGCAGCTTCTTCAACGAATTTGCCAGGCACCTCTTCTTCTTCCGCCCGGTCAGACCGGGCAATGTCCGCCCGATCGGGCGGACAAAGCTACGAAGTACGAGTCACCTAATATACTTATCAACAATCTCCACCTTGACGAGAACTCGTAGTCAGCAAACGACCCCATCAAGACATAGTGAAAAAACATCTCAAGCCAAACCCGATGCAGGACTCATGCATAAGCCATACATCCCGATAAGTCTTCAACCAAGACCCATCACATACTCGTCTCCAAGTATAACAACTCATAATGCTCCACCTGCATCACAAGCCCCGGGCAAGCTCCACCTTAATGCCAACACACCTACACCAGGAGCTCCCCAACTTCGCCCCTCAGGGCCTACTACATCACGTAGTAATCAATATTTAGCAAGTCTAAGCAATGTTTAAACTTGCTAAACGGAACAGGCTTAGTGAAGAAATCAGCCGGGTTGTCAGCAGTCCCAATCTTCTTCACCTTAATCCTCTTGTCAGTACGCAAGAAATGATACCTGACATCAATGTGCTTCGTCCGATCATGGTGTACTTGATCTTTAGCTAAGCAAATCGCACTTAGACTATCACAATACACTGTAGCAAAATCCTGTGCAATACCCAGTTCACCTACTAGGCCTTTGAGCCAAATAGACTCCTTAGCTGCAGAAGTTAAAGCCATATACTCAGCTTCAGTAGTTGACAACGTAACTGATGACTGCAATGTAGACTTCCAACTAACCACAGAACCACCCAAAGTGAACACATAACCAGTCACAGACCTCCTGGTATCCACATCAGCTGCATAATCAGAATCACTGTACCCAGTGACCAAGCATTCCCTACCATTCCCGTACACAAGACCAATATCAGTTGTCCCTCTCAGGTAGCGAAAAATCCTTTTCACCCCTTGCCAGTGTTCCCTCCCAGGTCGAGCCATAAACCTGCTTACAACACTAACAGCATGCGCAATATCCGGCCTAGTACAGACCATAGCATACATCAAACAACCAACCGCGTTTGCATATGGAACTCTAGACATATAAGACAACTCCTCCTCTGATTGAGGTGACATAGACAAAGACAACTTACAACTAACAGTAGTTGGCGTACTTATAGGCTTCGATTTTTCCATCCCAAAACGAGACAAAATCTTTTCAATGTAGCTTTTCTGAGTCAAGAAAAGCTTACCTCTAGCCCGATCCCTGTAGATCTCCATACCCAAAATCTTCCTAGCTGCACCCAAGTCTTTCATGTCAAACTCCGAGTTAAGCATCTCCTTTAATCTAGCAATATCAGATTTATTCTTTGTGGCAACCAACATGTCATCAACATATAACAAAAGATAAATCATGGAACCATTATCCAGCTTACTATGATACACACAGCAATCATATGAATTCCTGTCAAAACCTTGTGAAACCATAAAAGAATCAAACCTTTTGTACCACTGTCGGGGGATTGCTTAAGTCCATACAATGACTTTAGCAATCTGCAGGCATAGTGTTCCTTTCCAGGAACTTCGAATCCTTCG